AAATTTTCTCCCAAGAATAGGTCTTTGTCCTGAGCTTGGGGGTGAAGCCGGACTTATCACAACTTCGAAAAAAGAAGACTGGTGCTCATGATAATGCAGATAATAGCGTACAGGGCACAGCCGATTTTGCAACACTGACTGGCATCATGTCCGTGGGACCTCCCTGCATTCCTGTTTTGAGAGGTGGAGCAGGGCTATTGGAAACTCAGTTCCTGTCTTGTGCCTGCCTTTATTTCATTTATTATTATTTTTTTAATTCTCACCTGAGGATATGTTATTATTGATTTTAAAGAGAGGGGAAGGGAGAGGGAGAGAGAAACACTGTTGTGAGAGAGAAGCATCAATTGGCCGCCTCCTGCAACCTGGGTATGTGCCTTGACGGGGAATCGAACCTGTGACCTTCCGGTGTTTAGGGCAGCGCTGTAACCAACTGAGGTACACCGGCCAGGGCGTGCCTGCCTGCCTTTTAGCAGATGCCAAATAGATTGGACACACTCAGAAAGTGACAGTGAGAAACCCAAGGCAGGGCCCAGCCCTTCCCTGTCTCTGGCTCCCGGGTCCCTGCTCCCCCGGGCTCTGCTCCTGGGTCCTGGGCACTTAGGGCGGAAGGCTGGGCCGCAGGCTGGGCCCGGGGCTGACTGTGTTCCCCCCTCTACCCCTCCCCCCCCCACGCAGAAGCGGTACCGCGCTGTGTACGACTACAGCGCCGCGGACGAGGACGAGGTCTCCTTCCAGGATGGGGACACCATCGTCAACGTGCAGCAGATCGACGACGGCTGGATGTACGGGACCGTGGAGCGCACGGGTGACACGGGGATGCTGCCGGCCAACTACGTGGAGGCCATCTGAGCCCGCTGGGCCCCGCCCGCCCCGCCCCATCCTTCAGCGCATTCCACGCATCGCATCTGCCCTGGGCGTGACCTGTCCACCCGTCAGTGTCTCTATGTTTAAATCTGCGACAGCTTGTTTCTCCCCAGCCTCCTCCAGCTTCTTTTGCCAACCGAAGCCTTGTTCTGCCCCTTCCTTGGGCTCCTTCCTCGGGCAGGTTTCCCCCTGGACCGACTTCTTGGTTTTCTCTCTGGGCGGAACAGGTGTGGGCCTTCGGGGGGTGGCCGAGGCCCCGGGGCTGGTCTGGAATGGGGGGGTCCATCGGCTCAGGCCTCCGCCTTCTCTCTTTCTCGGCCCCCTCAGACCCTCCTGCCCACCTCCTCACACACCCGACATTCCAGGGCTGGGGTGAGCCCCAGACCCCCAGGACTCCAGGGAGGGGCTCCAGCATTCCCAGGGGTGGAGCCCACCGCCCTGGCCCCTGGATGGGCACAGGCCGGGGACTGCCACTGTGTGGGCACCAGTAAGAGGGCTTTGCTTCTCAAAGATGGGGCTGCTGACCCTCTGGGGGGGTCCCCTCACCACCCTCTCTTTTCTCAGAGACAACGAAGAGGGGTAAAGTGCCCGCCCTGGGGTTCATTCATCCTCCCCACTCGTGTTCTCCTCACACTGTGATTTTGCTCTCCTGCCCACGGAGACCCGGTGTGGGCTAGGAGCTCCCTAGGAAGCACGGCTGGGTCACGTTCTGGCCTTTCTTACTTTCGGGGCAGCTGCAGGAGGGAAGGGGACAGGCTGTTCTCTCCGGAGCCCCCTTTTCTCCGCACTCCCACCCCCAGCCCCCAGGAGCCCTGGCTGGCCTCCTTGGCTGGAAGCCCGGGTCCCTGACAGGTGGGGCAGGAAGCCCTGAGATCTGGGCTGGGCGGGCCACTCCTCCCCACTCCTCCAGGGAAGATACCCTGTCCCTTCCCGCCCCCAAGTGCATAGAAACTGCAAAGCCACAGGACCCTCTGCGTCTCCAGGACTAGCGTGTGGGGGAAGGAGCGTGTGTGTCTGCAGGAGTGTCAGCGAGTGTGAGTGGCAGCGAGTGTGAGTGTGAGCGTGAGCGAAGGAGCAGGGTGTGGCCTGCAGGAGTCTCTGGGCTTAAGTGAGGATGCACAGAACTGTTTCCCCCTGATATTTCCTCAAAACCCACACTGAGGGGACAAGAGAGGCCCTAGGGGACAGAAGTTCCTTATACTTTCTTTGGAATGAAAATTCCTCCTGTCCCCCAAGTGGAGGAAGCCCACCTGCCTGCACTGCAGTGTGCTGGGCGGAAGTAAGGGAAGGACTGGAGATGGGGGGTGGGGGGCTGATGCAACCTTCTGGGTGGGTTAGGGAGAAGGCTCCGTGCCCCCAGCATATTCTCTCCCCCATCTCTGCCCTTCGCTGCAGACCAGGGGCCAGAGGACCCCGTGCTACCCACACTGTGGGTGCCTTACTCTGGGGGTTCTGCCCCCCAGGCCTCTCCCTTACTTACCTAAAGCCCCCTGGAGGTGTTAGGAGAGGGTCCCAGGGCCACAAAACTGGAAGCACGGGCCCCGGGACGTGGAAGGGGAAGATGGTGCTATCTCCAAACCCTTCTGTCCCTCGCTGGTGGCTGTGACCACCCCTGCCTGGCTTTATTCATCTCTGGGAGTCCACTCAGGCCCCGGCGCTAACATCATTGCCTCCTGTTCCCTGCAGCGGTGGCTGCAGGCATGATCGCGTCCTCTCCGCTCGTGGGTTCAGTTGGGAACAGTTAGCCCAGATCAGAGAGCTCAGGAGATGACTGTGGGGGAACACGCATGGACCTTTCTGGGGGAGGCCGAGCCCCAGCCAGGTGAGGGTGGCTGGAGGGTCTCCTACTGGGCGGTTTGGGGGTGAGGGAGCAATATTGGAAACCTGGGTCCATTCCATTTCCTCTTGATCTCAAAGCACAACATGGATTCCGGGACCAAAAGGTCAGAGACACATCCTGTTGGAGGAGCTGCGGGTGGGAGGGGAGGGAGAGGTGGGAGGGGGCCCGGAGGAGCGAGAAATCGTCTTTTCTCTCCGCTTAATTTTCCTTCCAAAACAAGGCGAGCCAGCCACTGGAATCTTGCTGCCCGGCACGCTGCTCCTCCCGTCCTAAAAATAGGGGACCTTTTTTTATACAACCCACAGAGAGGAGGGGCTGTCACACTGGTGCTGAGGGACCCAGGGGCTGCTGGGAGTCCTTGTTCCTTTCCAGAACCATCCATCCCTAGAAGAGCACAGAACCCGAGGGCTGGGCGGAGGCCCTGGTCTCCTCTTACAGTTCATAGAGGTCTTTTAGCCAATATCCCAGGAAAGAACATCCATCGAAGCTAGAATGTGAATATGACGTTAGTGGACCAATAATTGCAAGAAGCCCAATGGTGAGAAAAGTGAATTCTCTCAACACTGCTTCCTGTTTTCTTCCTCATGTCCCTCCAGGGAAAACTACTTTATTGCTTAATTTCTGCATTTGTTTTCCCCTTTACGTATGCACTTTGGGGCCTTTTTTTTTTTAATAGCTGGAAACAAAAATACCACCTCACAAACCTGTATTTAAAAAGAAACAAATGACCATGTGAGATTTGCCTCCGTCCGAACATTTCATCCGTGTGTGTGAAGCCGTCATTCATCTTTTTATATGGGGTGGTCGTCTCTCCTTGGTTTGTTTGGTCCCCTCCCTCGTGGGCTTTTGTGCTTGGGATCAGATCCTCTGGCCTGTTATGATTCTGAACGTTTGACTTGGACCACAAGTGAATCTTTCTGGTGACTCAAATAAAAATATAATTTTTACCTGCGGACTTCGTTTTCTCTCTGGCTCTGACGGCTGCTGTGTGTGTGTGTGTGTCCCTCTGTTTGGGGGCGTTGGCCTGAACCCCTCCTGGGAGCCCTGCCGTCTCTCTCGGGGAGAGAGACCAGTTTGGAAGCGGTCAGCCTACAGTGGCACCTGCTCCCTGTCGACAACGCCCCACCCGTCTGCCCCTGGCTACATCCCTCTGCCCAATTTGGTGACACGCCCAGGAACTTCCGAGTTCCCATATTCTCTTCCTGTCTGACTAGCTTCACTGTGCACCTGTCTCCCCACTAGCCAGTGCGCTCACGGGGCAGGTAATGGGTCTAACTCATCTTTAAACCCTCAGTGTTTGCCCAAGGCCAGGCACAGAGCGGCTCAACAAACATTTTTGAATTAATGAATGAGCTAAGCTGATGGGCCGTTTTAGCTCTGCCTGCACCTCATAGGCACATACCTGAGGAATGAGATGACAGAGAGACTGGGACAGTCTGCGGTGGGATAAGCCAGGGATGAAGCCATCTGTTCATGATGCCTGACAACTGCGATCTTGAACACACGTGTTTAAATGTGATCTCATTAGCCATGTGAGGGAGAACGGCCGTGGTGAGCACCTTACAGATGGGGTTCACTGAAACCCAGAAAGGCGGCGGTTTGGAGGAAGTTACAGCTGGGCTGGAGGTCTTAGGGCCCCCGATGTGATGCTTACAGTCTCCTGCTACCTTGCTAGGGCGGGCTGTCTACCCAAGCCCTTTGCACGTCTCATCTTAGTATCTCCTGTGCTCAGTTCTTTGCTCCAGGGGCCCTGGGTCTAACGCCTGACCAAAGGCCTCCTCTCCTCTGTCGGGCTGAGGCGGGGCAGTGATAGGGAAGGAATCCAGGCCCTCCCGCCCTGGCTCAGTGCCACCAGTAGCCTCCTGTCCAGCTGTTTGGGGGTGGTGGTGGCGGGGGGCGGCATTTCCCACTCGGGGCTCAGAGTGAAGGCATCCCCTCGCTTCAGGGTAACGGCAGGGTGGAGAGGAAAAGGGCTTTCGCGGACGGAGCCTGAACTGAGCTTCCTGATGAAGGGAATGGTGACAGTCAGGGGAAGGACAGGCCGGTCAGCAGGACTGAGCAGTGGGGGCAGTGTCAGGCGGCAGCGGGTGGGATAATTAAAGATAATACCGACACCTGCTCCTCTGAAGGAGCAGCTGCCTCCGTGTTCCCACTAGCAGGGAATGAGTCGGCAGATCTCGCCTCCTGTGGTCCTGGCCCCTCTTGTCAGAGAGCGGAGCCCCCTCTCCCCAGGAGGCTGGTTCCCCTGAGCAATTAGAGGGGGCAGTCCTTCCGCTTGGGAGGGGACCAGCGGGCCGCCTCCTGGGCACAGGCCAACGGGAGGAGTTTCTAGACCCCCTTCTAGAAGTGGCCTAGCATGAGGAGGGGGGTTATTATGCTTCACCCCAGGCCCTCCCAAAGAATTACTTGGGGGTGGAGCCATGGACACTAGGGCATCAGAGATGTCACAGGAATTTTTTTTAATTTAATGGGAAATAAGACATAAAAAGACATAAGAGCAACACAATACGTAACTGAGCACCCACTACCCAGCTTAAAGAAATACAACATCAATTTTTTCCCCCTTTCCCTTCAGAAGAAGCCACTTGAACGTGCATTTCTAGGCACAGGGGTGGCCTGAGGATCCTTGGGTGTCCCTCTGGGGTAACAGCATGTGGGACTCTGGGGAGAGGATACAAAGGAGGACAAGAACGTGGGTGATGGCACAGAGACGGGCATGGAGAACGGGGAGAGGCCTCTGGCGCTCACCCTGCAAATGGAGTGACCGGAGCAAAGTGCCTCACAACCCGAGCCCAGGGGCAGTTCAGACTGAGAAGGTGGGCCGGTGTCGGGCGGTGAACACGATGGACTCCGGAGTGTGCAAGCCAAGTTTTGAATCCTGGTCTCTGCCATTTCCAGCAAAACACTGGGCAATTCCTGGCCATCTCTGAGCTCATCTATAGAATACCTGCAGGGAGGTTGAAATGCCACCATCTGTGCAATATCTGGCATAGTCTAGAAATCCCACGTGTTAGCCCCAGCCCAGAGGTGCTGGCTGAGACTCACGTGAGACCTTTTTCCACGTCCCTCCATAACGGGACCTTTACACCTTGCGAATGGCCCACCCAACTCCCAACCATTCTTCTTCTGAGATAATTTGCTGGGGGTGTGTGAGGAGAAAGTGGAGACGAAAGGCAGGACGATTCATTCCTAAGGGATCTGGCTAGAGATCAGATCTCCTCCTTCGTCCATATCATGCAGACGCCACTTGGATACAAAGGGGTGGGATTGGGTTCCTGGCGAGAAATTGAGCCTGGTTGGTTCTGCCAGGTCTCAACCCAGCAGTTCCTTGATTACCCGCTCCCGGGCTTTCTGATTGGCTGGCGGTGGTGTATGGAGGGGTGGGGTAAAGTGAGCTGCTGATGGAATTGCAGCATCCTTTAGTCTCCGGCCCTGAAGCGGGAGGGGGGGCGGGGGGGAAAGGAGGGCTGAGCAGCGGAGGGAGGAGGGAGCCATTTCTCTCCACTGACGGCAACCTCCGTGCTCACAGCTCACATTTCCCTGCCATCCAGAGGCCTCCTCGGCCAAGGACTCCATCATGCTGGATATTTTCATTCTGATGTTCTTTGCCATCATAGGCTTGGTCATTCTCTCCTACATCATCTATCTGCTCTAGTTGCCTGCAGCTGCGGAGCCCACAGGAGAACGGCGCGGGAGGAGGATGAAGCTGGCCGGCCCAGCATCCTGCTTGCTGACGCACCGCTGGAGTTTTGCTTCTGGTCATTATTTCGGGTATTGATTCAAAAGCAGAATTAAAAGAGATCTTGTTTTTGTATCCCCCCCCCCCTCGGATGCATTGAGGTAGCATTTCTCAGACCACTCTGAGAAGAGTAAGAAATGCCAACTTTCTTTCTTTGCGACCTCATTTAAAATAGGATTTTAAAAAAAAAGAGAAAGAAACCCACTCGGTGAAGGATTTTTAGGTAGAATGAGTTGGGAGTGGGGTGCCTGGTGGGAGGGACTATAATTTTGTAGTTTTTTTCTTCAAGTTGCTCAAACTCCAAGTTGTCCGTTCTCTTCCGGTAATTAAAGGTTAAAAACACATCATTATGTGCCAGCAGAGCGGTTTACAATGATGCTTGCACAATTGCATTAATGAGTGACTCACTCTCACTTGAGGATGAGATAGGAAATGAAATTCACTGAGGAGTGGGGTTTTGGGGGGAAGGAGAGAGGAACTCCTATTTCTTTTCTTAGTCCCCAAAGACTAAGTACTAGGAACAGAGACCTTTGCTGCCACTCCCATCTGAACCGTGTTGTTTCTGGGTTTCCCACAGTTCCTGGTCTCCAGTTCAACAAGGGGCCTCTTACCAACAGCAGCTGTCCTGCCGCCCAACAGACCTCCGCCCGAGCCTTCCGGATATGGCTAACCCCTCAAGGAAGGGACTTTTTGAGTTCAGAGTCGGAGGCACTCGGCTGGGACAGTAGGAATTCATGGCATGGCTGGCAGGTGTGCGTGCTTTGAGCTATGAACTGAAAAGGACACAGAGAGCTGAAATGCAGACTTACTAAAATGCTCATGGAGAACTTCTCAAAATTCATTTTGGTAGGATAGCCTTTCCTTCGGTCTTTTCTTTCCCTCACAGGAAAGGTGTTCCTTTGTTAAGTCCGAGACCACATGGTCTCTGGTGACCTAGTCACTTTATCACTGTCTAGAGATGGTACAGTCTGGGGTTATGCGGTTTCCTTTGACTTCGTCGCTAGCCAGAAGGAACTTGTCATTGAGCTTTTAAGATTTACTTTCCCCACTCCCTGCCCTACCACTTGCGCTCCAGCTCCCCATTTGAAGAGAGAAACAGTTGGTTCTATAGTTCTCATTCTTTGTGCTTGGCGGAGCCATAAATTATCGAGACAAGATGGCTATGCTTGGTATTTGGGAGAAATCTCTCTCTTACTGCAAAGTAAGTGTTTTTTTTAAGTTGTCAAATGTTCCTTTTCTGGAAAAAAACCTTTCAATGTATTTTCTGTCCAATTAAGGTTGAAGAAACCATATATTTTGGGGTCCAGAAAAGACTTTGAAAAATCCATCATAATTGTTTTACATTTGATTTTTTAGCTTAAAAATAAACAAGAAAGATGAACTTAATAGTTTTTACCCATGACATCGTGTTCCATTTCCATGTTTTAAAAAGAAATAAAATTAAGGCAGTATACTATAATGTCAATTAAAATGAAAAACTTGCATTTTAGAATTCTGGCCAAGAAAAAACACTGTTCTAGAAGCTTTTTGTCTTGGCAACAAATTATGTGACTTTCAATAAGTCATTGAACCTTTCAGGGTTTCATTTTATTCCTACAAATGGAAGCAATGGACTAGAAAATTGTTAATATCCACTTTAAAGTTCTACAATTCTAGGATGCATTATCTTTGAAAACTACATCTTCGAGAACAGAAATCCCATGAAAAAAACTCTTAATAGTTACCAGTAGTTCACTTTACTGCTCTCCCCAAATGACATTTTATGATGAAAACTCAACTACAAGACTTTTTTGGCACACTGTGAGGGAAAAAATGACTATTTTTTACCCCAAACATATATCAGTGATACTTTGCCTAAGGTGTTTACATACTACATGGTGGTATGTAACAAAAATAGGTGATCTGACAGACACACCAATGCAAAAGCCTGGCTCTGAACATTAATATATTCAGGGGTGATCTTTAGTTATCTGTGGAGTCCTTGACATGACATTTCCCAGTAAAACATTCCTCTGACTCTTTGGCATAGCTTTTCTTCTTCAAGTCAAGATAGTAGCTCTATGTCCTTACCTAGGTAAGTGGGGAAGTGTCAGTATTTTGGAGGGGCCCAAGTAACAGTTAATTATTGTGGTCTAATCTTCATGGTATAGTCTCTAACCAAGCTCGCTCTGAAGTTTATGAGGTCAAGGCTCTTCAGTCTGTATCCATACAAAGTTGAAGTGACTAATCAATTCAGAGAAAACAATCAGCCAATTTTCAGTTATACACCAGTGATATATACCACTGGCACTGGGCACCATATAAGGACAGAAAGATTATCCATATTTTCAGTTACTTGTGAAATAATTACATTTTGGAAGAAATTTTATGACTTTGTGCTTATATCCATCCTATAATAATGCCAGTTTATAACAGTGATTTATAGTGTTCATCATTTTGATAATTTTTTAAAATTTCATATTTGAACTTTTTGTACATAAAACACTGGGAAACATTACTTCTGTGATATAAGGTTTGTTTTAATCCTCATCCAAGGATAGTCTTCCATTGAATTTTTAGGATGAGTGGAAGAGAGAGGGAAAGACAGACAGAAATACTGATATGAGAGAACCACAATGATTGGTTCCTCCTGCTTGAGGCCCTACCAGGGCCCTGGCCGGGGAGAAGCCCGCAACCAAAGTACATGCCCTTGACCAGAATCAAACCTGGGACCCTTTGGTCCACAGGCTGATGCTCTATCCACTGAGCCAAACCAGCTAGAGCTGTAATATAAGGTTTTGGATAAATTTACAAATCTGTGTCATAGGGCAATCAAGTCCTATGAAATGGGGATTATACTTGGCCCACACCAATGTAATAAAAACATCTCTAAATAATTGTAGATTACTTAGAAAAAAAATTAATGTGGCATAATGCTAAGAATTCTTATACTAATACATGCTTTCTGGATTAAAAATAAGGGGTTTGTGCCGAAACCGGTTTGGCTCAGTGGATAGAGCGTCGGCCTGCAGACTGAAAGGTCCCAGGTTCGATTCCGGTCAAGGGCATGTACCTGGGTTGCAGGCACATCCCCAGTGGGAGATGTGCAGGAGGCAGCTGATCGATGTTTCTCTCTCATCGATGTTTCTGGCTCTCTATCTCTCTCCCTTTCTCTCTGTAAAAATCAATAAAATATATTAAAAAAAATAAGGGGTTTGTATGGAAAAGGAATGTATTTTATTTCAGGAGAAAGAGGATATATTTTGGGAAACAAATAATGGAAAGATAGATGTTACTAAGCTAGAATCACCTAAGCCTCACTGCTCTGGGTATATGGAATCAAACCCAAACTTTCAGAGTTTGGAGCTTAGCATGACATTAATGTATTAACTTTCAGAAAATGTTTGCTTTTCAGAGGCTTAATATTAGCATTATTCAAACTTCAAAATCCCTTGAGTATCATTTTAATTTAAATTATTTAAAAATAATGGGAATTTCCCTCAATAGAATACTAAAGAATAGTTGAAAGGAAAAAATCTTTCTAAATTACATACTTTGCCTTTATCAACCTCTAAATGTTTGTTACAATGGCCTCTTCTAAGTTAGTTCTGCTCTCATCTATTTTAAACAAAAATAAAAGCAAAGTCATATATAAAGGGGGAAACTGAAAAAGTCATTGACACAACTTCCATTAGCAACTCAAACATACTAAGGAAGACATTTAGAAATAGTTAACAACTTTTTGTTCTTAGAAAAACACTGCAAGATCTTGTAGTCATGGGAAATAACAGGTAATACACAATACTTAATTACATGTTTTGTTTTTTGAAATTAGTATTAAACTCTGATAATTGTAGCATATCTATTTTAGCAGCAATTGAAATATTAATTGGTTGAGAATTTCGTATCTGAATTAGATAACAGAATAGTATAGAATACTGTTGTAGTTACAGATTATACAATTTATGAATTGCTGCTAGCAAATGAAATTATTTAATTTATATACTATAATATTAAGCAGAAATATACATATACATAAATATATAGCTAATTAAACATTATTTTATGTTAAGACATTTATATTTTGATCATGGTAGAGCTTTAACAGCTTCAATAAAAACAAGTTCCTCCACAAGAAATAATTTAAAGGAATTTATACATTCAATGACTTGCATGACAAACTCTGGACAACTTAGAAATGTCTTTAATTTTCTTTTTATTTTATTAATATAAATAAATACCAAATTAAATAAAAATGAACAAATATTAAATATTTACGTATCAAAGACATTTTACCATAAACACAATACTTTAAAAATAACAATCATACTTTTTAGTTTGTGCACCTTGAAGCAATGATCCTAGAATACCTATAAGCATTTGTTTTGTTTTTAAAAGGCTTTCAAGGGTTAAACTAAGTTTGTTTTTTTTAAGCCTCTAATTACTTAAAGAGTTTTCTGGAGTTATATTTGCTTTCTTGATAAAAAAAAAAAAGTATTCTTAGTCAGTCCTTTGGCACTTTTTTTTAACCTAGAGAAGACTGTCCAAAACAACTATATTTGAGATCATCTTTCCTGTTCTAGTAATGTTTCAATAAACCAAGGAGCCTATGTCCACAGCCTGATTTCTTACAGGGTTCACAACTGCCTGCTAGTGGAATTGGTAAAGAAGTTACATTGCTAATAAGGTATCCAATGACATGAGGCTTTTATAGCAGCTTTGTGTTTTAATCTTTCACAATATCTATTGACATAAATATTTGTAATCATATAATTCAGTACTATTCACTTAAAGAGGTTAACTCAGATAACCGCACAAAGAGATTCATGTTTGTTTTTTGCTGACATAAGATGGTTCCTCCACTTGTACCTTCTGCTGGGCACATCACACTTGCACTAATTTCCAAAGGTGAATAATTATCATGGCAATAAAATCTTTGTTATTAACAAAACAACTGGAAGCATGAACTAAGTTATCAGAGGATGGGAAAGGTGTGAAATAGGTGCCTATTGTTCATGCTATGGAGAGCAGCCTTGAACTCTTAAATGCCTGAAAGGCTTCCCAGGTACAGTAATTTACTGCTGGGATTGTGAAAACAATAAAGTTGAGGAGTCAGAAGGGCATGAGAAAGAATTCTCCAAAAAAGTGTTAAGAATAGACGTTTTAGCCAGCCTGGTATGGCTCAGAGGTTGAGCATCGACCCAGGAACCAAGTTTGTCACCGGTCACATGCCTGGGTTGCTGGGCTTGATCCCCAGTGGGGTGCATGCAGGAGGCAGCTGGTTGATGATGTTCCTTGCTCATCTATGTTTCTATCTTTCTACCCCTCTCCCTTCTTCTCTCTCTCTCTCAAAACAAAATCAATAAAGACATATTAAAATAAATGAATAAATGTTTTATGGTTTCATAAGGTACAGAGTATTTATCACAAGAAATAAACTTTAAATTAGTGTCTAAGAAATGTGGCATCATTAGTTTGTTATTAGTACTATTATGGTGTCGTGTGTGTGTGTGTGTGTGTGTGTGTGTTTAGAAACAATAGTAAAGTTAAATGTAATGCTGTCATTGAGCTTTTTGGGCTTGCCTTCTAGTGGAAGTAAAAATCATCCTACAAATAGAAGTCAAAGAATTCTGAGGAAATCACTACCAAAAGGAAAAAAAGAGCTAGAAGCCCAGGTTAATCTTCTAATTCAGAAAAAGGTACAGGATAAATGAATGATTTGAATTGCTAGTATTGTTATGTTATTATAACTGTTCTAGAGTCAGCTAGAAGTGAACAATCTCCTAACATCTTTAGGCTATTCATTTTGCACATGCTCCTTTTTTGTGGCAATATGATTGCATATACCATCACTTAAACATCAATATTAATGATCATACATACATATGTGCTTTCACAATTTAGCCTCCCACTTCAAAATTTGATATCACACTTAATTCCTAATGACAAATATATTCAGCAAAAAACTGGATTGCTGTCCAGCTGGGCTCGGGCTTCATTCACTCTTTGGAAAGATAGCCACCATCTACCTTAATCATGTAGACTTACTGCAGCCTGGTTTCTCTGTTACAATAAAATTACTGTAGACCCAAAAAGTAAAAAAACAAAACAAAACACAATAAAAAAAAACTGGATTGAATTGAGGAAACTGCAAATTTTGTCTCAAAAGTTATTTTTATCTATTGATAACTGAAGAATTTTTCTACCTACTTTTTATTGGTAGCAAGATGATATCATTTATCTACTGTACCCAAAGAATGAATCAGATTTTTTATGCCCCAAATTTCTGGGGACGGTGAGATAATGATTTCACAATTATTGAGAATAATGCAATAATGTGTTTTTCAAATTTTACAGCAGCAGTCATGTCAAGTGTGTGATGAGATTCAAAATCCAGGTCAAAATCTTTTATATTAAGCCATTCTTCTTTTGTAAACTTCTAAAAATAACTGCTGTAGAGACTTAGGTAATTTAAGGAACACAAGGAAACTTCACAATGCGAAATTGCTTCTCTAAGAGAATGAAACTTAACATCTATGTAGTAAACTATTTAAAATATTCACTACTTATATTAAAATTTTTACTTTCTTTCCTTCATTTTTCTTCTCCCCCGCCCCCACAAATAATCTAATGGAGTATATTCTCAACTTGGAATTACTAATATTTTGATAAATAAATGGGTTAGGTTTTCCAAAGCATGTAAGAGAAAAAGAGTGAGAGAGAAACAAAAAGCTAATTAAAATGTTTTGTACTCTGGTATCTGCCAACTTTTAATCTTCATAATTTAGTGGTGAACTGGAAGGAAGAAAACGAAATTAGAGGAAGAAAATGAAAATAGGATAAAAGCAAGGACTTGTTTCTTTGCATAAATATGTAAATGCTAAACTCTGGAGAAATAATTCCTGCAACCGATGGAATTGCAGTCGAACAATCCATCAAAGAAAGGCAGTTAGTTTCTGACCATCCGTAAAAGAAGGTTAAGTGCTTATGCTACTGAAATATAGTAAAATCTTGTTATCAAAATTTGTATTTTCTCCACAAATTTCACTCTTCCTCAATCTTATTAAATCTCTTATTGAACCCCACTTGCCAAATACCTGAGAATTTTCCACAATTTCTATTCTACTTCTGCAGGTAATTTCTATATCGTCTAGTTATTTCTCCCCTTTATCAGCTCAAGAGGTGAGTTGAATCAAGGGCTTAGAAAAGGAAAGCCAGTGTCTGAAAAGTCGAGTGGGAAAAGTTGTGTGTTCAACAGAAGTAAAATGATCAAACCCAAGGAGAAGAAAATGGAAAATCCAGGAGAGTTCCAGCATTATTTCAGCCGCAGTAGGCGCTATTGTTTTCTACTTTAATAGTAAAAGTGATGCTAGTCAGACTGAAATAGTCCTGGAGCTTCTTAGGATTCATTTACTTGAGTGAAGAAAAACCCCGCTCCTGGGCTGCTTTAACATCCATGCTTCCAGTTTCTTCAAGTTCTACTTTTCAAGATAGGGAGAAAAGCTTTAGGAAGAAGCGCAAATTATTTGTGCGTATTGTGCTGGCATCAGAATAGGTACTTTTCTTTCATTTTATATTTTCCCTTATTTGCAACATTTTACTCTAATCCCCAGGAAATAAAATATGATTTGTATTAAAACTCTATATACCCCTCTCTCTTTATAGACTTTTTGTATGATTTGTCTTAAAGAAACAGATATATTTGTGTATATGTACATATATACATATTTATGGATATGTATATACATAGACACACATACTTCCTTTGGTTTTTGATCTGTTAGTTCATACAAAACATGAACAAAATATAATGTTCTTTGTAACTATATGCCAACAAGGTGGTTTAAAATGTGATTTATATCTGCACATTCCAAAACATCATATTGCAAACCTTCACAAAACATTCTAGGCTACGTCTACACAGTCTAAGCACAGTGAACAGATACATACAGAAGTGGGGTCTGCTCAACTATAACACAAAATTTTCTCTTGCTTCAAAGACCCACACATACAGGCTGGCTGGCCCAGACTCTTGGAGACTAAATTTTGGTGTGAGGTTTATAAATTTTGGAGAGGCACAACTTGTTTTCCAGAGAAATCTCAATATATTCTTGGGTTTGCCTAAAATTTTTATATTAATAATGATATAAGCAGTTGCACCTAAAATTCTGTGCAACTTTAGAATTACTCGGATGAAAAAAAGTTCTTTGGGTGCTATTTTTTGATTGTGGAAAGTAGCATTCTTCTCATTGTTAGTTCAGTGAGGTAGTCTCTAAATGCACAGCTTTCTGAGTATTTAGGTAGAGATAGAATTGATGGTCAAATACAGGACCTCCTTATGGAAGTTAGCTTGAGCATGCACAAGATGGAACAAATTCAAAAAGATTCTGTCCTCTTCATCTCGGTCTCCTATATGCCATACACAGGAATGGACAGGGGGGTGGGTGGGGGGAAAGACAGTTAAGTTTTAAAATATATGAGCTATTTAAAACATAAGATGTCCCAATTTTTTCTAGCAATATGTAACAGAAGACTAGTTATTGATCTTTATTTAATCAGATGTTAACCATTGAGATCATGGAATTCTGTAACAGCACTGAATTAGAAGTCAGAAGAAAAGGATGCTGGTCCATGTTACTTTTAACTTTATGTCCGAGGGTAAGTCAGATATTCTCTAAGCTTTAGTTTTTTCATCTGTAAAATAGAGTTAATTATCATGTTGGCTACCTAATAAAACTGTAAAAAATATACATTAAAACTATATAAATACAGATATTATGATGAGTATGATAGTTGATTAGTGAGCAAGTTAAAATTTTTTGTTGTGTAGAATAGAAATTGGATCCTTTCAGAGCAGACTCTTTGACTTTGTTTTCCATTAAAACTAATATCAGATTTAAAAAGTGACAAAACCAGAAACTAAATATATCTCATGGAAAAACAAACAAAATTATCTACTTCTATTCTTGGTTTAGAACAGCGGTTCTCAACCTGAGGGTCGCGAGCCCTTTGGCAGTCGAAGGACTCTTTCACAGGGGTCGCCTAAGACCATCCTGCATATCAGATATTTACATTATGATTCATAACCGTAGCAACATTACAGTTATGAAGTAGCAATGAAAATAATTTTATGGTTGGGTCACAACACGAGGAACTGTATTTAAAGGGCCAGAAGGTTGAGAACCACTGGTTTAGAAATAAAAGTCTATACAGAATTATCCCTGTCTCAAGTGGAGACTAGAATGCATTTTATTCACACCTGTGCACCATCTACATGCATACTCACCAGACATAATTGACTGCAGCATTTCCATTATAATACATGCAAATGCATTTGCCACATTCTGCAGGAAGTTGTTTTTTTCAACTGAGGTACTAAAGACTTTACAGACTTTTTGCATCATTTTAACTGCCCAGTCCATGCAGTATAGTTCTTTCTCGCACACCTGATTTAGACATACAAAGCATTATGGAATATCTTCATTTAAAGAAAGCTATACATGCCCTAACCGGTTTGGCTCAGTGGATAGAGCAGGGGTGGGCAAACTTTTTGACTCGAGGGCCACAATGGGTTCTTAAACTGGACCGGAGGGCCGGAACAAAAGCATGGATGGAGTGTTTGTGTGAACTAATATAAATTCAAAGTAAACATCATTCCATAAAAGGGTACGGTCTTTTCTTTTTTTTTTTTTTTTAGTTTTATTCATTTCAAACGGGCCGGATCCGGCCCGCAGGCCGTAGTTTGCCCACGGCTGGGATAGAGCCTCGGCCTGCGAACTGAAAGGCCCCAGGTTCGAGTCCGGTCAAGGGCATGTACCTTGGTTGCAGGCATATCCCCAGTGGGGGGTGTGCAGGAGGCAGCTGATCGATGTTTCTCTCTCATTGATGTTTCTGACTCTCTATATCTCTCCATAAAAAATCAATAAAATATATTTTAAAAAAATCTAAAAAAAATAAAGCTATACAATTTGAAAATTGTATTAACTATGATGGTTTATGATTTTATATAATTTATTACACATGGTATTATATTGAGTCTATAGGTGAGAAATGTTTCTATATCTAACATTCCTTTGCTTTCAAATAAAAACTCTGGTTCAAGATTATCATAGAATATATTTAAAATTATATATATATATACACACACACACATAGAGAGAGAGAGAGAGAGAGAGAGAGAGTTAGTCCTCATCCAAGGATATTTTTCCATTGATTTTTAGGGAGACTGGAAGAGAGACAGAAACATCGGTGTGAGAGGAACACATTAATTGGTTGCCTCCTGCACGCCTGATCAGGGCCTGGGCCAGGGAGAAGCCTGCAACAAAGGTACGTGGCCTTGACCAGAATCAGACCCAGGACCCTTTGGTCCACAGGCCAACGTCCATCCACTGAGCCAAACTGGCTAGGGCAATTTACTTTTCAATTACAGTTTACATTTAATATTATTTGGTATTAGTTTCATATGTACAGCATAGTAGTTAGAAAATCATGTACTCACTGGTCTCATACATAGTTATATTATTAATAGACTATACGCTCTATGTTGTAGTCTACATATCTGTGACTATTCTGTAACTACCGATTTGTACTTCTTTTTTTTTTTTAATATATTTTATTGATTTTTTACAGAGAGGAAGGGAGAGAGATGGAGAGTTGGAAACATTGATGAGAGAGAAACATCGATCAGCTGCCTCCTGCACATCTCCTCCTGGGGATGTGCCCACAACCCAGGTACATGCCCCCAACCGGAATCGAACCTGGGACCCGTCAGTCCGCAGGCCGACGCTCTATCCACTGAGCCAAACCGGTTTTGGCCGATTTGTACTTCTTAATCCCTTCAATCATTTTTACACAGACCAACTGTCAGTCTGTTCTCTGTATCTTTTTTTTTTAATTTTTATTTATTTATTTATTAAATATATTTTTATTGATTTTTTACAGAGAGGAAAGGAGAGAGATAGAGAGTTAGAAACATCAATCAGCTGCCTCCTGCACACCCCCCACTGGGGATGTGCCCGCAACCAAGGTACATGCCCTTGACCAGAATCGAACCTGGCACCTTTCAGTCCGCAGGCCCACACTCTATCCACTGAGCCAAACCAGTCCCGGCTGTTCTCTGTATCTTATCATAGAATATTATTAACGTAAGAACTAATATTAAAAACAATTATTATTTTTATGGAAAGTAAGACTTCTGCCCATTCACTCATGCAATAGATATTGATTGAGCACATGCTAAGAGGTGGAAATACTATGATAAGCCATAAAGACAGGGCTTCTATTTTGAAGGAGTCTAATCAGGGTGACAGACAAACAAGAAATTTCAATAGGCAAGAGAACTCTATAGTATTATCAACTTTCCATCTTGAAAGTTATAGGAACTATTTATCTCTCTATTGTTTAAAAGATAAATATTTAAAGAAAAGACTACATGTTAATAGTTAAAACTGAAAAGAAAAAGGTTTACTTACTAACATTCTAAATGGCCATATTAACACATAGACAAATAATATACAACATGGAAATAAACTTTATAGTAGTGTCACTAAATAATATTAATCTGACAGGAAAGATGTATTGCCTACTTATGTATAAGGAATGGTACAAAGCACTATGAAAAGCACGTGACATAGTCCTGGATTTCAAAGAACTTGCAATCTGTTTTGGGAGATAACTTACCACTCACATAAAAAGGCTTAAGAACACTAGGTAAATGAAGATAAAGAGAAGACAAATCCGAGGCAATAAGGGAAAATTAATGATCAGAGTTGAGATGGTAATCAGGAAAGGCTTTCTGGAGAAGGCTTCTTCACCCAGTGACTTCCTGTCCATTCTGTTTGCTATGGTGCTGTCAAAGTGACCTTTTAAAAACTTGAAACTGATCACATCACTCTCCTTCCTAAAACTTTTCAGCAGCTCGCTGTTAGAGGATGTGTTCAAGCTCCACAGAAAGTCTACCAGGCCCTTCGTTACCTCGCCTCTCCCTTTCTGTCTAATCACGCTTCCTCCTCTTCCTCTTCTTTACATTTCACCCTTCAGAAATACTACTGAGCTATCACAGTCCTGTGACTATAGCCATGCAATTCTCTTTCTCTTCCCCTCTCTTTTGGAGAGAATCTGTTTCATTATTAAAATAAATATTTGTATTGAAATTACAGTAAATTTAGTAGTTTTATTCACATTTTAAAAAGAGCCACAGAGGTTTCATACATGTTTTAAGCAGTTAGTTGGTAATGACCCTGTCTCCATTTCCTAGGAAATGAATTATATTCAATTATTCCTCACAACAGCCAACTTGAGATTACTCCATTGCTTTTGAAGCACTGGTTGAGCTGGAATCTGCGATGGTACTAAATAAGTGATTTGCCCTCTCTATCTGCCTGTGAACTTCTCTTCATTTTATAAAATAAATTTGGCTTGAGAAAGCCCTCACTATGCTCTACTTTCATCCATATCGGCTCCTCTTTGCTACCTCTGACTGTATCTTTCTGCATATATGGTTTTGCACTTATCTCACTGAATTTATTTACATATGCCTTAATATCACTTAAAACACTAAAAGCAGCTTTCTGTCAGAAAACTGTTTTATGAATTTCCATAGTCCTAGAATCTCACATGATGTATGGTCTATAGTAAAAACTCAATTTTTGTTAAACGAATATTAAATATATTTTTAAATGTTTTGTTTTGAAAAACATTTTAACTATAGAAAGTAGAGAGAATAGTATAATGAACCCCGTGTATCCACTTTCCAGCTTGCCAATCTTGTTTCACCTTTACCTTCATTCACTACCACATCCTCTCCCTGCTGCCCATTGATTATTCTGAAGCAAATCAAATAGAGTACTTTATTTTTTTATTTTTATTTAATTTTATTGATTTCAGAGAGGAAGGGAGAGGGAGAAGGAGAGAGAGACATCAATGATGAGAGAGAATCATGGATCGGCTGCCTCCTGCACGCCAACCACCGGGGATCGAGCCACAACCCAGGCATGTGCCCTGACCAGGAACTGAAGCCAGGACCCTTCAGTCCGCAAGCCAATGCTCTATCCCCTGAACCACATCGGCCAGGGCAAATACTTTTTTTTTAATAGAATTTTTGAAAAAAGAATATAACTTTCAGAGCTGTATGATGACAATCTAGACATAAAGTGGGGAGAGGTTAATACAAAGAGTAATTTCAAATATGATAGTTTATTACTATTTATTTATTTTTTGTTAATCCTCACCCAAGGATATTTTTCCATTGATTTTTTTTTCTTAGAGAGAGTGGAAAGGAGGGAGGGAGAAGAGGGAGGAAGAGAGATGAGAGAGAGAGAGAGAGAGAGAGAGAGAGAATGATCTATATGAGAGAGATACATCGATCCGATCGGTTGCCTCTAGCCCTCGCCTCGACTGGGGCCTGGGATCAACCTGCAATTCAGGTACTTGCCCTTGATGGGGGGAATGGAACCTGAGACCCCTTGGTACATGGGACGATGCTCTACCACTGAGCCACACTGGCCAGGGCTATCACATATATTTTACAATTTTATAAGTATATAAGATATATACTTATATACTTATTCTTTCGAAATATTTTGTACATATTTCAGTTCCTTCAGGGCAGCTTCCTGGCAGATCAACTATAATGTTAAACAACTGGTTAGAGAAAACTTATTTTTTACTTACCAAAGCCAAAAAGACTATCAGTCTTGCCAGTTCAGCGGTCCGTCCATTCACAGCTTTACTAGCCATGAAAGTGAAACAGATGTCGTTCCCACTTAGGATTAGGAGACGTGCATTATTTTCTAGAAGCCACTCACGAGGAACCACTTTCATTAGAGGAAGAACAGTTACTTAATGAGAAATTGCACAATAGCTATAGTAAACATCATTAATTACATGCAATATTACATCACTTCATTGGAAATATGATTATTGCCAAGGGAAAAGCTCAGAAAAAAATGCTTTAGTTTTTTAATTACAGCATTTAACTGGAGACAGAGATTACTGCCATGTCATGGCAGCTCTTATACATGTACTAGTAATACAGTCAAAGCATTTTTCCTACAGATAGATCAACAAGCAAGGTGGTCTAATCCTGTGAAAGGAAAGAAATCTTGAAAACTTCAGAATCTAAAGAATTTTGCATAAATGGAAAAAATTGTTTCACCTCTACCATACCATTAAGAGAGAGTTTCTTCTTATACAACCAAGGAAGGTGTTTTTGAGAACTTGCAAAATGGGATTAATTAAATTATGAAGCTTTCAAATAATAATGGTAATAAAAATATACCTATAACATTCACAATTAAAGAAAAGTAAGTTGATTATATCCAGTCTCTTCAAACAATGCCTAATTCTTTAAATATTTTAAAGCATTTAATGGTAGGCAAGTCATTTGTTACCTGTAGAATTACTATTTTAATTTTTTAAAAATATATATTTTATTGACTTTTACAGAGAGGAAGGGAGAGGGATAGAGAGTTAGAAACATTGATGAGAGAGAAACATCTATCAGCTGCCTCCTACACACTCCCCACCGGGGATGTGCCCGCAACCAAGGTACATGCTCTTGACCAGAATCAAACCTGGGACCCTTGAGTCCGCAGGCCGATGCTCTATTTGCTGAGCCAAACCGGTCAGGGCTACTATTATAATTTTATAACTGTATTCTAATAATAAACTATGTTACTCTGTGTGATAAATATGTTATTTTACCTGATAGTTCATCTATAAGACTGATAACATCATCTGCTGTCCACTCTTTGACGCCTGTGTCATATAGTAATTTAATGGCATCAGCCAGACCTTTCAGACTAGATTCATCTGTAGATTCTTCTATCATTTTCTGCCAAACCACTTGTCCTGAATGATAATTGAAACAAAAATTAGGTTATGACAGAATAGTTGACTTTGTGATAAAGACTTCATGGATTATTTAAAAAGCAAATTGGATTGCATAATGGAATTCATTACTTATATGTGCTACTTTCATAATGAAAGTCAATTCTGATAACAGTATAAATTTGAATGTCTCTGACTGATGTGATGAAGCACAGCCATAATAGCTAAATGAAGTAAAGAAAAGGTAGTTTCACCAAGCAGAATAGCACTTTTAGTTAAAAGATAATGCTACTCTGGTAACAAAAATTGGAATAAACAATTAATGTAATTTTACTGGAATAAAATAAAATCTGAAAAAGAGAACATGCTATATTTGAGGATCTCCCAAACACCTATATCAAAACAGAGTAATCCAGTTGATTTTTTATTATTCACCTATGACCAATTCTCTTTGTGAATTATGCACCAAAATTTAATTATAGATTGGCTTCTTGCTGCTATTCAACATAATTTAAACTAGTTACCTCCTGATATAAGGCAATGTGAACTAAAGAACTGCATGCTAATTTTAATATTAATCTAAATTTAATTAGAAAGACAAAAAAATTTTAAAAAATTATATGCACCCAAAATTAAGTAAAACATCAATATCAATATACTACTTTGATTTACTGGCACTTGGTCCCCTCCAGCAGCAAACATAATCTTGAATTAAGATAATGTTTAAAAATGAAAAGCAGCTATTTCCTATCCAGAGATGATAGGAAAATATTTGGTAGTGGCTTGCAGGGAACAATTTCCATCTTGAAGCTTAAGTTACGTACAAGTTAATGTAGTATAAACTCATGAAATCATGAAACATTTTAGTCATTAAGAATGATGAAACTGAGCGGGTACAAAAATATATGCTTCCTAAAGTAAAGGTAATGAACCAGTTTTATAATATATATTGCTAAAAAATAGATGCTCACCATCTTGAGGAGATATTGGTCCAAAGATGATATATAGTAATCTTGCCTGATTCACCATTGGCCATGGTTTTAATATACGTGTCAACCAAAAAGCAGAATCACTTCTATGTTTCCAATGATCAAACAGGACATTCCTACAGAACAGTCTGATCCTTAACTCTAGTTTTCGGGAATTTCCTATGAACACAAAAGGCTTGTAAACCATTTTTCCTAGAGAGGTTGATGTGCATAATAAATAAGTCAAATTTATTATTATACAATTGTTAATATACTAAAAGCATTAATTCACTTTCCTCTGTAAAATTTTTAGATTAAGGGATTGTTTTTTGTTTTTTAAATATATTTTATTGATTTTTTACAGAGAGGAAGGGAGAGGGACAGAGAGCTAGAAACATTGATGAGAGAAACATCAATCAGCTGCCTCCTGCACACCCCCTGCTGGGGATGTGCCCACAACCAAGGTGCATGCCCTTGACCGGAATTGAACCTGGGACCCTTCAGTCCTCAGGCTGACACTCCATCCACTGAGCCAAACCAGTCAGGGCTAAGGGATTGTTTTAAAAAAGCTTTATTGAGATATGATTTACATAGCATACAATTTGCCCATTTAAAGTGTACAATTCAATGGTTTTTAGTATATTCCCAGATATGTGCAGCTATCATCAAGTGAATTTTATTTTATTTTATTTTTTTTAAATATAAGGTTTCGGCATCAAGTGAATTTTAGAATATTTGAGCATCTCAAAAAAGAAATTCTGCTCTTTTAGTTACCACTCCCAGCCCTAAGCAACCAATAATTTATTATTTGTCTCTATAAATTTTCCTCTTCTTGGATTTCATATGAATGAAGTCATACAGTATGTGGTCTTTTGTGACGAGATCCTTTCACTTAGCATAATGATTTGAAGGTTCATTCATATTATGGCATGTAGCCAGCTTAAGTAATAAAATATTATTAGTACAGTTGAAGCCCTCTGACTACTTCTCTTTCTCTACTCACATGCCACTTGAGCCTCACTATCCAATTCAGTGTTTATCATTCTCTTATATTTCTTTGTTGTTTTACTATTAACAGACACCACAATTTATTTTTAAATATCCTTTTGAACTGTGCTTTTTTTCTATTTTAACTTCTATATGTTATTTCTGAATTTTGGTTCTTTACCTGGTTTGCTGAAGACAATGGTCTGCATTTTGCGGGAGAGATCAGTCAGTTCACATAAAAAGTTAAAAACACGATGGCACTCAAGTTCATCCCAACCTGCTGTTAAGGTCTGAGGATAATAAAATAAATGAAACATTGCAGATGTTTAGACCTCACATCAAAACATAAGTCACTATTGCCTTATGAGCACATAACTGTCATAGCACGTGATCCAGGTGAGTTGTAATTTTTATCCACTATGGAACTATTGACATTAATAAGATATTTTACATAAAATATAGGAATGTTCCAAATCCAGTTTCTTTTTTTAAAAAAATATATTTTATTGATTTTTTTACAGAGAGGAAGGGAGAGAGATAGAGAGTCAGAAACATCGATGAGAGAGAAACATCGATCAGCTGCCTCCTGCACACCTCCCACTGGGGATGTGCCCGCAACCCAGGTACATGCCCCTGACCGGAATCGAACCTGGGACCTCTCAGTCCGCAGACCGACGCTCTATCCACTGAGCCAAACCGGTTTCGGCAATCCAGTTTCTTTTTCATTGTAAAGGGAGTATGTTTTCAGAGAACTTCTAAATGATACTGAATCTTGAACTCTGACAGTATGAGGAAAATAACAAAGGCCCAAACCCTCAAACACAGCTTTAGACATCTGACTCATAAGCATACTGTGGCTTAGTTTTAGACTACAGTAGAACCCCTTTAACCCCCTCTAGCTATCATTATGATATTGCTTACAAAGGATAATGATTTCATTTTAATGTGACAATTATGAGCATTAATGACATTTGGATGTGAACAAGCAAAAAAATTTTCTTAGAGCAAAATTTAATAATTATTTTTGAGCAAATCCAAATGTATAAACATCTATGGAAAGGAAATTCAAATGGTATATCACTATACAGTTGACCCTTGAACAACACAGGCTTATAATGCGCAGGTCCTTTATGCAGATTTTTTTCAGCAAATACCTGTAGTGTTTTCAATGGAGAGCTGACTGAATGCATTGATCTATGTCATTTTATATAGGGGACTTGAGCATCCATGGCTTTTGATATCTGTGTGGAGTCCTGGAACCAATCCCCCTAGAATGCCAAGAGACAACTTACATTTTGGGGGAGTCAAAAGTTGTACACAGATTTTCAACTGTGTGTAGGTTGGTGCCCCTAATGCCCGTGTTGTTCCAGGGTCAACTGTAATTAGATTTTGAAGATTTCTTAAAATAGTTGACCTGGATTTCAGCAGTGTATAAATTAATCTATTATCTCTGGAAGGACATACAAGGAACTGCTAACATTGGTTAATTCTACTGAAGGGCACTCAGTGGACAAGGGACAGGTCTTGGAGGGAGACTTACTTTTCACTTTACACCTTTTTTATTTTATATAAATACACGTGCTTACATTACCTGCCCTCTAAAAGAAGAAAGAAAGAAAGGAAAGAAATCTATCTTGAAAGAAGGCCGGTAGAAGGGCCTACCCTGGGATCAGAAGGTGGCTATCAGGCTGGGACATAAGCAAGATGGTTGTAAGACTGTTGTAAACCTCATAAGGTTGTTGTAAGTTTTAAAAGTTAGTACATATAAATTGCTTAGAATCGTATAATATATTATCAATATTGAATAACATTACATTGTTATTATCTTCTTTGTTTATAATAAAAGTTTAATTAAGCCCGGGGAGTGTGGCTCAAGCAGTTGAGTGTCGACAAAATATTCTTAAAATCATACAACTGATTTTTTTCTTTTTTTCTAGCTCTACTGAGATATTACTGACATGTAAATTAAAGACATACAAGGTAGTAATTTTATATATGTTCATATTGCAAAATGGTTACCACATGGGGTTAGTTACATCTATCACCTTAGTTACAATTTTTTCATACAGTTTATTTCTAAAATCACATCTCAAATAACTAGCCCAAGACTTAAAACTCATTACATACACATACACACACACCTCACCTCACACTATTTCTAGTCTTTACAACAGTGGCTAGAAATGTTGAGAACATTGGTATAGAGCAGGTAAATGTTAAACATTTCTTACCAGTGAGAAACCCAAGAAGAAAATTTGAGGTGGCAAACATTACTAGACTAACACATCAAATTTTTACAATTTTATTTTGTTCTTTTTAACATTTTTAGAAATATACTTTTATTAATTTCAGAGAAGAAGAGAGAGGGGAGAGAGAAACATCAATGATGAAAGAGAATCATTGGTCGGATGCCTACTGGGGATCCCTTGACTGGAATCAAACCAGGGACCCTTCAGTCCACAGGCTGATGCTCTCTATCCACTGAGCCAAACCAGCTGGGGCTATTTTGTTCTTTTTTTAGATTATTATTACCTTTACTTTCCCATGGAACAATGGATTACATGCTCTACTTGTCAACAATTCAAAAACATTTTCTTTCATTAAAAAAAACGTACCGCCCTAGCCAGTATAGCTCAGTGGACAGAGCATCGGCCTGTGGACTCAAGGGTCCCAGGTTCAATTCCAGTCAAGGGCATGTACCTTGGTTGCAGGCACATCCCCAGTGGGGAGTGTGCAGGAGGCAGCTGATAGATGTTTCTCTCTCATCAATGTTTCTAACTCTCATTCCCTCTCCCTTCCTCTCTGTAAAAAATCAATAAAATATATATTTTTAAAAAATAATAAAAAAGTACCTGTAAAAGCATGCCATAACATGATAATCCTGAACACTGCATAGGAGCTGCACAGCCATTGAATTTAAAACAGGGAACCTGTAAAGAGAACAACTATTCATTCCTTCTTTTCAGTGGAACTGTACAATGATTTGACGTTTGACATTCAAATTCAGTGGAAATGTAAACATTTTTTCAGTATTAACTGAAAATAATGTTAATAACATTAAATAACATTGATTAGCATTGTTATATAGGTGGGGATTATGAAAGAAATATAAAGCAAAGGCTGCCTTCAAGGAGCTCACAATTTATTTAGGAGAATAAGATATACACATGTGAAGTTACTTTGATGATTTAAGGTTAGAATATGTATAAATGGCAAAATGACCAAAAAAGTACATCAGTTATTATGAAACAAGGAAATGATAATTTGGGAATGATCAAAAAAGCTTATGAAGGATGTGAAACAAGCAATGTCTAAAGTAGGATTCAGACATAACAAATGGAAAAGATTGGTGAGGGAAACAATAAGTGCAAAACTGTATAGAGGTAGGAATAAAAAAACTTTATTTGGGAATAAAAATATGATCAACTTAACTAGACTCAAAGTAATAGGAAGTACAGTTGCATGTCAGGGAGAACCTTAAATACCAACTATGGACTTTGGACCTTATCTTGCTAAAATTGAGTAGCCACTGAAAGATTTTTAAGCAAGAAAGTTAACTTGATGAAAGTGATGCTTTAGGAAGAATAACCTTGATTCACTGTCTTGGGGACTGAAGAAGTGGAAGGCAGAAAGGTCATCTGGGAAGCTGCTATAATAATATAGACCTGAATTCAATGCAAATATTGACATGAAAAAAGCTAGTGCATGAGAAATAGTTTGCATACTACTGAGTATAGAACTGAACCATCAGTATTTGTATGTATGTTTGGGTTTGAATAGTAAAACTCACTTTCTTACATAGAGATTATGATATATTGATATACATTTCCAAGTCATATATTATCATAAAAGGGTTATTTTATATATTAAAATACTTTCCTATGTTTTTTGTATATTTTAACATTCAGAAATTACTTCATTTTAATAAAATATCTAAATCACCAGTTTAAAACATCCTCATGATCCTCATGTGGCATAAAAATACTTCTATACTCTGATAAACCTAATAACCTTAAGTGATGTATTTAGTTATATAAAAATTTTTTACAGTAAGTAAAAGATTACTATACTACATTTTGGTGTTTTATAATCTTTGAGTGCTTGGTAAAGTATTAGATTATCATCAATTAATTTTTTAGTACCAATTCATGAAGTTTTACTAATAGAACTTAAATGAGTATAAGACAATCTTACTGGAAATCAAGATTGCGAACTAATTCAGAAGTATAATCTTACTTCTGCGAGTATCTTGTGAATGTACTTTAGTCTTTCTTTTGTGGGTAGCAACAATGTACATCTTTTAAACAGTAAACCTGAGAAAGTAAAACAAACACATGTAAAAACAGTGACAATTAAAAATATCTATAAAGTGCAATCAATTAAAATATATCTATAAAGCACTGCGTAATGTTTCCTGAAAGTTAAGTATAGTATACCACAGTGAACTGTGAGCTGATAGATTTTTTTAAAGAGGAATTTTGGGAGGAAGGGTATAACATTTATATGTTGAATACCAAGTGACTCTGATGTCTACCTAAGAGGCACTGATATAAAATATTATAAAATATTATGAAATTGATACTATAGGACAGATATGGAAATGTTTAAAATTATTTAGGTTTTAAAAGATACAAGACAAAAAATACACTAGGAAACTTTATATTGTCTTTATTCCATAGAAAACATATTCCAATATCTCTTGAAATCAGCCTCATGTCCACAAAGGAAAATGTTTTGAATTGCAAAACATGGGAAAATGGGAAGAGATTTTGTATTCCTTTTGGGAAAAAAAATTAAAGTCATAAGTCCTTGAAATTTCAGAGGTTTGAAGTCATTTTTGCTCACAGAAAATATCCAGTTTGGATGAAATATCTATTTCTTCCTTCAAAGATATCCTTTTATGGTGTTTGCATGTTAAGAATGTATAGAATTTTGTGTTCAGATATTTAAAAATGAAAAAAAGCTCTTCAATTTCCCAGAGAGGTCTGTTACTTCAACTACAGTGACAGGAAGTGACTGATTTGTTGCCTCGAACTTTAAGTGGTCTGTTTTCCTAAAATGGCAATACATTGTTAACATTCCTATGAGGGCAAAATCCTCAAATTAAAAATAAGATATATGGAAGGAAAATATATGCCTGAATATCATGGCTCTATTCAGTTTTTATTTTCTCTGCATTTACTTTTTTTAGCATAATATAATTACTACTTCATATAATTCTGTAGACTATATGAGAATCTAATTTATTTTTAGAAGTTGCTATGTTTGGATAACACATGACCAGAATTGACTTTTAAACATAAACCCTCCCTATTTTTGTACATAAAAAGACATTTTCAGTGTTTGGTTTTTAGGCTGAGTTCTTTTCCTTTCATGTTTTGGCATTCAGTCCCATGGTATATCATAGCTAGGGAATTGCAAGCTATAATTACTGTTGGTTGCCTTTTCTAATGTAAAACTCCTCTATTTTTAAGGGTTGCAATTCACCATATAAACCAATACAGGCTGACATTTTTTTTTTTTTTAACACAAGTGCTCTGCTATATCCTTTGGAGACCAACTTCTTTAATTTCTCCCCACTAAAATAGTCAGATGTAATGTTCTTTCCCCACTGGCCATCTGCTCTGTTTTGTATGAAGAAGCAAATTAAAATTTATAATATTCAAAGAGCAGGAATCTGAAAATGTTACATTAAAGTCTGAAAATAAGAACAGATCAGATAGGAATAGCAACATGAGAAAATGTAAGTACATCAAACATTTACCTAAAGAATCAGTCATAAGCCAGATATCTGCATCAAAATTAAAATAAGGTTACAATCATTACATGACTAAAACTGTTTTAAAAATGTAGCTATTAAGATCAATACACATTTGTGTTTTTTAAAAATATACTTTTATTGATTTCAAAGAGGAAGGGAGAGGGGAGAGAGAGAGAGAAACATCAATGATAAGAGCAAATCATTGATCAGCTGCCTCCTGCACATCCTCTACTGGGGATCCAGCCCACAGCCCACACATGTGCCCTTGACTGGAATCAAACCCAGGACCCTTCAGTCCGCAGGCAGACACTCTATCCATTGAGACAAACCAGCTAGGACACACATTTGTATTTTTAACTGACTTATCCATATAATTGTCTTAATGTTTTGTTTGTTTGTTTAAGCAATTGAGCCTTGGTCAGGGGAAAAAAACTTTTTCAGATCAAAATCAAGAATAAGCTCATTACCTAACCAAGTACCACTTTCTCTGCAACTAATGATGCTTGAAAAAAGGTATTTACAATAACAAGTAGCAAAAAGTAACTGCATATTCTGTTACAGACTTTATTAAGCCTAATCATAAAAGTTGAAGCCAATAACACTGTAATCAAATTATATACCTTTCATTTAGTCGTGTTAAATATATCTGTCAAATACAGTTTTATATATTTACACATCTATATAGTCTTATTTTATTACCTTAAAGCTAGGCATCCTTGGGCTACTAAAACATAATATTCATTAACTCACCTGTATACCTTTATTTAAATCTTAAGATCACGTTGATATTTGGTTTTATTGTCATGCTTTGGTTAATTATAAAGTGATTTCATCATTAAATTGTTGTCATTAATTAAGTAAAAATAGAATTTTATTTTAGCACTCTTAGGAAAAATAAAATCAATAAATGGAGTGAAAGACAAATGAATACAAATCAAGGCAAAAAAGATTATGTAAATTTCCTTTGGTAATATTCATTTAATCATAACATAATGACTTATTAGTAAACTGTACAACGCTTAAAAAAAGCCAGTTTCTGATAAAAGAATAAGTGATCTTCCACAATAAAGTGTTTACATTTCTTTTCTATTTTAAGGACCAGATTATGGTTGAAAGGGAAAAGAGGTATAAAGATAAACTCAGTAGATCCACAGGAAATAAAATACAATATACATCAATTTCCTAAACTGGTAAGCCTAGAAAAAAAGCATAGGTGACATTGTATCCACATGAAATCACAAGGGCTGACACTTTACATTAAAGGGCATTCTCTTGTCTTTAAAGATAAGTGTAAGAGACTGCTGTTAAGGGGAAGTCCTCACATTGAAGACAAAAGCATCATAGAAATCGGCACATATTAGGAAATATTTCATTTCCCATGAGTCTCACAGAAATGTATAATAAAATCCCATTAAGTATAGTTCTTTGCTTGTTACAATTCTTATTACACAAATTACCTAGAGATCTGTAGTGTTCCAATACAGCAGAGTCTTGTCTCTTGCCAGGCAGCTCAAGGCTATGAAAGTCCTGTAGTAAAAGTCTTTTGCTTCCTGATGAGGTTGAGATATAATTAATAATGTGCTGGCTGACTGTCTTGGACACCATGCTTAGCATGCTGACATCCTTCACTACCAAAGGAAAAATACATACATATATATGAACGGCTTAAAGACAAGAACGTCACTGTTAGGACAGTGTAATGATTGATGTTTGCTCATTAATAATGATACTAAATAATAGTAAAAATAAAGAGGAAAATCTTAAAATTGTTTAAATCCAGTGCTCAATAAATTAGGAAGATTTTGGGATGTAATAGTCAAGTTACCATGTCATTATAATGAGAAGCATGCTTAGAGAGTTTGAGAATTGTACTTTCTCATTGTATCTCTTACCTAACAATGTAAGCCTAGAAACTTTGGAAAATAATCTTACTGTGAACACCATTAATTCTAGCATGGCCAAAGATGACAAACTAGTTCTTGGGAAAAACAAAAATATAGTCCCCCTCACCTGATAAATATCTTAAGATTATTTGGAATATTTCCAATGGCAAGGTTCTAAAATTTCCAAGTGCTGATAAGGGCTGAGAATCTGAGTCCAGGGTGTTGGAAACATGGCTGGATCGACGACTACTACGTCTGTATTTCTGGTTGGGAATCAAAGTGAAACTGGTATTTACTCTAGATGCCATCCTTTTTCTTATCTTGTGAATTTATCCTGGTTAGAAAAAACAAAGTACAAGAAACAAAGAAGAAAGGAAATTATACTGATGAAGAACTGTTGTTGTTTTTAAATGAAGAGGTTGATATTTTGATGGGAAATAGTGGCCTCTCTATATATTTACAAAGCTTTTTAATATGGTGTCCAATTTATGGAGTTCCCACCAGTAGAGTCATTACGGTATGATATGAAATATTTAAAAATATTTCTCTTAGCAAAATATTCTAAAGAGTTTTAGTAGAAAACAAGAATGTATTTGGATGAAATCTAGTCTAATATGCAAACATTTTATTTTTTTATTTTTTAAAGTATATTTTACTGATTTTTTACAGAGAGGAAGGGCGAGGGACAGAGAGTTAGAAACATCGATCAGCTGCCTCCTGCAAACCCCCTACTGGGGATGTGCCCGCAACCAAGGTACATGCCCTTGATCGGATTCGAACCCGGGACCCTTCAGTCCCCAGGCCGACGCCCCATCCACTGAGCCAAACCAGTTAGAGCTAATATGCAAACATTTTAAAAAGACTTAACACAAAAGAAACCAATATAACAAATTCAACACATTCAATTTCTGTCAGTTACTATGTTGCTTTTATAACCTTTACATTAAAAAGTCAAAATATGGATGTAGCTTTAAATTTTTGCAGTAATGTTTTTTCTATTTCTTTAACACTGCGCACTGACATCTTTTGTCAAAAATAAACAAAGAGATAAAAAATAGAGACAAAGTTTAGAGCTTTTAAAGTTGTACTCGCTCTGCGAGACTCGGAAGGTGGCCTCGCCGCGAGCAGCGACATGCTGCGTAAATCTATAAATGAGCAGTGAAATGAAAGTCTTGTGACATTAACAAGACAAATCAATGAGTAACAATGTCCCCTCAATTTCCCCTCAGAATCAGTCACCAATCGGTCTCAGGAAGGGCCTACACCAACCTGATTTCAAAATGAACACTTCTTAGGGGGAACGAACAACCACCGATATTACTGGTACGAAATAATAATTAAAAAACAAACACACAACCGCTCATCACACACAGTGACACGGCCACGCGCGCTCCCGTTCGGAGAATCACGGTCTTTCTCAAATGGACGCGAAGCCTCAGCTCCGGGCCGGCCTGGTCTCCGAGGGACCCGCCCGGCACACTCTCTGGCCCAAGTGCACTTCCTCCCTTGGCCAGAAAACTGCCGAGGCCACATTGTTACTTCTGCCGCCTGGGAGGTGACAGACGGACCTCAGAGCAGTTACAGCTCCGCACCCGCGGCCGGGAAGCCCCGGGCCTCGCGCCGAGCAGAGACCCGCCCGGCCCCGGCCGCCATCGGGGCCGCGCATCGCCGGCACGCGCACACCACGCGGCGAGACAACACTGGAAAGATTCAGTCTGCTCCTGAAGGCGGTGGTGTGTATCACCCCAGAACCTCACGTATATATTTCTGTATAAAAAAAAGGGGGGGGATCACGCTTCATACTATTTTGTGCTCTTTTTAAAATTGTAATTAAAATGGTCATTTCTTCCCCTGCCCATCGATGCACTTCCACAGGGACCAGATCTGAGGGCTGCCTGTGACCCACCCAGGGGAAGAGTCAGTTCCTTCCCCCGAGGGGGGCGGTTCCCTCCCAGGGGGCATTTTAAAGCATTTTCGCTCATTATCCAGACAAGTCGGGCCCGGGGGTCGCTTCTCCGCGGGCCTTGGGAGGAGGGTGGGCCTGTGGGCGCCTCGGACTCACGATGTTGGGATAATAAACATCGCGCCTCCCGGGACATTCGGGGCTCGGCGGGGGGAAGCGCCGTGCCCGGGGCCTTCTGAAGCCAAAGCCTCTCCTCACCACCGGGTCTCCTCTCACTCAGCCCTGGACGGGGAAGACTTTTCTGAAAAAGCTACAAGGTGTCCCCTCAGATTGCTGCTGGGTTCCCCCGGCCCCTCCGGGGAGCGAGAGCCACACCCCGAAACGAGAGCAGCACCGGTTCCCGCGCCCTCGGCCCAGCCCGACTGTTTGCCGAAGGCTTGGAGCGCCCTCTCGGCGGAACTTTTTCCTCCGTTTCGGGAAAAGTCGTCCCACAGCGATTCGCCGGGCTTTCTATTTTGTTCGACCCTCAGAAAACCTCCTGAAGAGACGCACCCCGTCTCCCCGGGGACGAGCCCCGAACACCTCCAACGCGGCCAACTAGAGGCCACGCGAGAGAAACCGGCGGGCGGCCCACGGACCGCGCCGCACGGGTGCATCTCTCACCCCCTCAGTCCATCAGGAGAGGGAAACTACCTCAGGAAAAGACGGGGGAAACAAATCTCTTTTTACCACAGAATGTGACCGTTTTCCGGCTAAAGAATCACAGGAAGATGGGAGTTAGTCGTTGTGCCCCACCATCCTCAAATTTCTTAAAAGTTTTTTAAGAAAAATCTCCTCGAGGTTTTCCGGCCGGGAAGAGAGGTCCGGCTCGGGTCCGCTCCGGCGCTGCGGGCCAGCCTCCCAGGAGCCCTAGTAGCCTCGAGAAGACTATAGAATCCTCCCAGGAGCCCCAGCGGGAGGGAGGCCCCGCCCCTCATGAATATTAATAAGAGCGCCTCTCCTAGTGCCCTCCTCCATGTTGAATAATTAACGAGGATGAGGGCCCTGGCGCTGGAACCCGGAACCCGGAACCCGGAACCCGGAACCCGTAAAACAAGCCATTCCTGGCTCCCAGCGGAAGACAGGAAGGGGTGGAGCCGTTAGAATCCGGGGGGGGGCTGGGACAAAGGAAGTGCCCCAACCTGGGAAGCCATCCACCTGCCCTCAACCACTTCCTTCCCTTTCAAACTAGTTTTGAGTCCATTTTTTTATTTCCCTCAGCCCCACCCCAATAGGGTAAGTTACAGGAGCTTTCATCAGAACTTCTGCGGGGAAAAACCTCCAAACGTTCCTTTTGAAACCCATCTGGGGGCCTAGAATCAGAGGAAGAAGAGTGCCTCCAGCCTCCCAAGATGGAGTCCACGGCAAATCTTTCCGGCTTGGCCCTCCTCCCTCAAAGATGCAGTTCTCCTTCATTATTCACAAATTCAGCGGCTATTCATTGAGGCCTGCTCTGCGCCAGTCACTAGAGTAGGTCCTAAGGACACAACAGAGAACAAGACAAAGTTTCTCGCCTCCATGGAGCTTTTTAGTGTCATGGGAAGATAGAATAAACAGACAAAGTAAACTACAGATGGAGAGCAATGTTATAGAGGAAAGAAGGCGACAGAACAGGTGGTTGGGGGGGCACCTGTGCCTACTTTAGATGGACAGGTCAGGGGGGCCCCCCGTGAGGAGGTTACTAAGTTGGAAAGGAATAGGTGGGAAGGAGCCAGTCAGGATGAGTGTTGGTTGGCGGGAGGAGGGAACACGGGGAAAGGTTTTGGTGCAGCTTAGGAATTTGCAACGCTGGCTGGCTGAGTTTAGCGAAGTAGGAGAGTGGCATCATGGAGATCATGGAGACACAGGCACAGCTGGGCACATGCAGGACCTTAATGGCCTAAAAGAGGGTCATTTTAGAACCCCTGTCGGCCTCCTGTAGTCCTGTTTGGGAGGACCTACTCCACATTATATTCAACAAAATACCATGTACCCACATCCCTCATTAAAATAAAATATACAAATAACTACAGAAAGGTTGATTTGAAATTTAGGATTAGTTGACATATTGTTATATTATGTAGTCACACACATTTATTAATTTTGATGTTGTAGTTTTTTGGAGTCTGTTTCCCCTCCTCCACCCCCTCCTGTCTCAAATACTTGTTATAGGCCCTTGACAAGACCTCAGCCCCTAGGGCCAGCGGTTCTCAACCTGTGGGTCGTGACCATCGGAAAACACATATAGCATATCAGATATTTACATTACGATTCATAACAGTAGCAAAATTACAGTTATGAAGTAGCAACGAAAATAATTTTATGGTTGGGGGTCACCACAACATGAGGAACTGTATTAAAGGGTCGCGGCATTAGGAAGGTTGAGAACCACTGCGGGCCTAGGCAGTAGGCGATGAATGAAATGCCTAGTGGATACAAAGAGCTTGAGTGTTGAGAAGTTTAGATTTCATCCAAAGTGCCATAGAAAGTCATAGAAAAGTTTTAGCAAAGAGTGATATGAGTCAGAGTTACATCATTTAAAGATTTCATGGCTTTTATGTGGAGAATGAATGAAGCAGGTAGGAGAGGAGGTGAGATCTGCTAGGATGTTTTTGCAGGACTAGGGTGTTGGTCCTGGAGACATAGGTTTGAAATGTTTTGGGCACAGAAGTAACTGAATTTGCTGATGAGTTAGATGGGGTGGGGGAGGGAATGGAAGGAGCTAGGGATACATTTAAGAGGTTGTTGGGTTTTTTTGCATTTGAGGGATATTGACATTCAGAAATTGGGAAAAGGAGGACAAGGTCTCAGAGAGATTGAAAAGGAGTGTTTAGTGGAGTAGCCTGGAGAAAAACAGGAGAGTAGGGAGTCACATAAGCCTGAAATAAAGTGCTTCCAGAATGAGTTGTCAGCTGTGACAAATGCTGCTGAGTTCAGCAATGTGTCCGTTAGAAGTATTGCGGGTCTGCTGTGTCATCTCCCATCTCAGGAACCTGTGGTGATTTTGCCTTGCCAGCTACATCAAACTCAAATCCCTCTGACATTTCTTCAATGTCCTCTATTCTCTCTTCCTCCCCGATGTGTTCACTCACTTGTTACATTTGTCTGATGCCTATTTTCTGCCAAACTCAGTGTTAGCTGCAGGGCATGTATAGTTTCTGCCTTGTAGTGGCTCGTGGTCACAAGCACCGTCACCCCTGGACTAGTAGGTTTTCTGTTTCTTCTTAAGGAAACAAACCTGCTACTTCAGCGGGAACGAGGGGAAGAAAGGGAGGAAGTGGGGAAGTGTCTCCTTCTTAGCAAATTTACCCCTACCTCTTTGGGCTGAAGCGTCCATCAGAAATGACTTTCCTCCTTTACAAATAGTCCACCAGGTCCTTAACGATTCACACGCCATAAAGCTTGTTTCTCCTTTAAGCATGCTCTCTCTCCTAAAGGCCAAAGTAAACTCCGTGAGATACTTTGTATCTCTTTTGTATCTTTTACATACAGAAGAACAACAGATACAGAGATGGATCTACCAGGAGGCATGGAATCTTAAGCTTTAGGGCCTGCTATTTGCATAGGCCCCTTCCAATTCTGTATTCAGCAACAGCAGGTGGAAATTGAAGACATTTTCTGGTAGACTCTAAATTAACTAACTTAAAATATTTGTCGATTTATTAAGCTTGTTTTACTTGTAAGGATTTACATGAGAATTCTAGTTATTGATTGTATCATTGCCTTGCCCAAAAGCTAAGTGCTGGCCTTAATCTTTTTACAGACAGACTTTACTTTTTAGAGCAGTTTTAGGTTTGGGGAACCGGGGTCAGCAGCACCCATGGAACTCCAGAGGCTCCTTCAACGTCATGCCGCTGAGGGGCCAGGGACCAGGAACAGGCAGGTTGCAACTGCGACCCAACCTCTGGCTTATGTCTTTTATATAATTGACAAGAATTAAAGCCACTTCTAACTTCCCTTCTTTAGACAAAGTAATTTACTTTCTAGTTTGCTTTCCTTAGAGTTTCCAACTCCTATTCCATCCTTCTGAGATATTTCTTATCTTGTATTGATGTTGCTTTATTTTGGTTCCCTACATTGGTTACTTTTTCTTCCTACTAAATCATAATGATTTGAATTGAATGGAAATATAGCGATTTCTTTGCTACACTTTTATGCACTTATGTATTTGAATACTTAGAGTAAAGCCCAACCATAGATGATTTTTAACTTCTCTTTTGTCCTTTTTTTTTTTTTTTTTTGGTGAAGAAATGGAAAAGGAGTGTTTAGTGGAGTGGCCTGGAGAAAAACAGGAAAGTATGAAGTCACATAAGCTTGAAATGTTTTCTTTTTCTTCTTTACTTTTAAAGACTAGTCAGCTAAATCACAAAAATTGCTTGCAAGAATAAAGTGATTTGCATAGGGCAGTTGGAAAAACATATACTAACACAAACATTTAAAAGGGTATGCAGAACTAAGAGCTGTCACATAGAGTCCTTAGGATGCAACATGGTGACAAGATTTCATCCAAAAATTGGCTTTGCAGGGGAATAGCAAGAAATGCTTCCCTTTTTAGACAAGGACACCAAGGTCCGAGGAGTAAGCGTCTTTCCCAAGGTTTTCAGCTCCAGCATCTTAGCACGAAGCCAGTTTGAGAAATTACATTTAGGTCATGCATATGTTGTCTGAAAAAAGCGCTACATTAAAAAGCCTACTATGAAATAATATGTACAGTCTTATACTATTTTAAAAGAAACATGTATTCAGGAGCATGATAAATACTAGAAGGAATGGCACTGTTCACATGACAGCAGTAGTTATTTTTGCACGGCAATATTGTTTTTCTTTTGTATTATTCGAAAAATGTTTAAAATATACAATGTTGCATATTAATGTACCACAAGTGAAAGAGAGGGAGAAGGTTTGGAAAGTAGTTTTGGATGTTTTTAAATGAATCTCATCATACACTGAAAGATGGTAATGAATAAATGTACTCAAATGTTGGAGCCAGTTCGTAGGCCTGTCTGGGACATCCCGAGGCAGAAGGAACCAATAGCACAGCAGTGAGTGGGTGTCACCTCCTCTCACAATCTTTCGCCAAAAGAAGTCCTGCCCCAGGATTAGTGTTTAGAAAGGTGTAGAGTCCTGATTTTGTTACCCCTTCGCATCAGGCTCCAGGCAGCTCTACCAGAAAACCCTGAGAAAATGTGATGCAGATATAAAGGGCCTGGCTATTGGTTTCCACCCTCTGGAGCCAGCTCAACCCCAACTAGCAATACATTTAATCCCATATTTTATATTTTGTGATTGAAATATTTGGGCTTAACTTTTAGCTTTATGCTGGGAACTCTGGAAAGTGATTTTATTTTATTTTATATTTTTTGAAAGTGATTTTAATTGTTTTAAAAATTCAGGCCAATGACTGGGAGCAAATACCTGCAAACAACAACAACAACAAACAAACAAAACCCCAAACACCTATATCTGATAAAGGGATGTAATCTAAAATATATTTTTTAAAAACCACTTAAAACACAACTATAAGAAAATGAACAGCCTACTTAAACAATGAGCAAAAGACCTGAACAGATACCACAGCAAAGCAAATACACACAGATGGCAAAGAAGCATCTGAAAAGATGCTCCACATGATGTCATCAGTGAGATCCCATTACACGCCGATAGCACCAAATGCTGGTGAGGACGGGGAGCAATAAGGACGGTCATTTATTGCTGGTGGGAATGCAAAATAGTCCAGCCGTTTGGGAAGACAGTTTGGCGATTTTCACAAAACATTTACCCAAAGGAGTTGAAAACATGTCCACACAAAAACCTGCACATGGATATTTATAGCAGCTTTCTTCATAATTGCCAAAATTTGGAAGCAACCAAGATGTCTGTCAGTGGGTGATTAGCTAAATGAACTGTGGTACATCCAGGCAGTGGAATATTATTCAATGCCAACAAGAAACGACCTATGAAGCCGTGAAAAGACATGGAGGAACTTTAAATGCATGTTACTAAGTGAAAGAAGCCAATCGGAAAAGGCTACATACTGTTATGGTTTCAACTACATGATGCGTGAAAAAGGCAACACTATGGAGACAGTAAAAACACTCAGTGTTTGCCAGGAGCTTTGGCGGAAGGAGGAATGAACAGGCAGACTCTAGCGCACAGAGGATTCTTAAGGCAGTGAAACAATTTTGTATGATACTATAATGCTGGATACATCTCATTATATTTTTGTCAGAACCCATAGAATGTACACCAAAAGTGAACCCTAATGTAAACTATGGACTTTGGGTGACAATGATGTATCTATATAGGTTCATCATACTCTTGTGGGGTATGTTAATGCTGGGGAGGTTGTGCATGTGTGTGTGTGTGGGAGGGGGGCAGAGGTGATGAGGGGGGAATCTATATACTTTCCACTCAGTTTTGCTGTGAACCTAAAACTGCTCTAAAAAGTAAAGACTATATGTAAAAAAAGTAAGGCCAACACTTAGCCTTTAATTTAGAAAAAATGTTTTCCAGTTAAAAATCTAGACTTTCTAGCCGTAAAGCAGCCAGATTTTTTAAAAAATGTGTTCATTCATACGAGGTTGTGTGTGTGTGTGTGTGTGTGTGTGTGTGTGTGTGTGAGAAAGATGAGCCATTGTATCCTTGTCTTCTCGAAACACAAAAATGAAATGTTTCAAACTCTTGAAAAGATACTTTAAGAAAAAGAAATGTTTTGTTCTGTTAAATAATTCTTATCCGACCTCATGAATGTGACACTAACAGCAATTAAATGAAATTCCGTGTGAGTAGTTTGGCAGGACAGTCGTTGCAAAACACGGGACAGGTATGACTAATAGTCGCCCGTGGGATAAGCTGCTAAAAATTTAATTTCCAGATGGCCAAAGTGCAGGCTTGACTTATTTGGAATTCTTTACAAACTGAAAACACAGAAAACTACAATTTTTGTTAAGTGACTGAAATTACTAAGCAAATGAGCCACAGGATCAAGGGGACTGACCGGGGTTCCGCAATAGAACTAGGTGCTGTAATTTTTCCAGCAGGTGGCAGCAGAGAGCTGTATGAGAGAAAATCTGTTCTCTCTAAAGAGGGGTGGGAACCCCGAAGGCAGAGAGAACCGGAAAGCACTTTAGCTGTCACAGAACACCCCCAGTTTCCGGATGAAGAAACTGTAAATC